GAGTTATGTATGTGGCCAAATTGCCATAAAAAAGTAAAATGTGTCCAAGAAAATAAGGCTTTTTCTTTTTTCAGTGGTAACAGTAACTTGACCAAAAGTTGAAATATGATAGGAAAGAAAAGATACTTACAACTTCAGTTATAACATTTATTCTGTTCATACTGAAAGACAAATGATCATATGAAGCAGGTCATTCATTAAGACTTACTAGGGACTTCACCATGTACCATGGCGATACATGATACAAAGTGCTTAACATACAGCATGAATTAGAGTGATACCGTATATCATATATACACCATGTATAGTGATAGATTTGTTTAAGCACATTTTTGAAGTTTCTAATGGAAGATAAGCAGCATCTAAACTTTGTGAGATAAAAAATCTCTTTTGAATACTCCCTTAACTTCAAAATTGAAAGTAGAGAAGTTACTCCCCTCTCCTTCACTGATGTCTGCACATAGAACAGGTTTATTCTTAGTTCTTCTCTCCAGCATTCCTCTTGGAGACAGCTTTACTTGAAATAACCAAAAACTTTACTTGAAATTATGATGAAATTATGAAAACCATGGGATTGTTATTTTCATATTTGAACTATCACATGAAATATAATTTGTGTGTTAAAGAACTGTTACATACTTGAAAGGTGATCCTTCTCTTTTCCTAATAGTAACAAACAGTGCAATGTTATATTATGCCTTAATTATGAACACAATAGATTCAGAAATTTGCAAGTTAAAAGTAGCAAACTTAAATATCAGTTCCAAAAATAAAAATTATATTAATATCTGAAACGGAAGTAGTGGAAGAATTCCCATTATCTGTCACAGCATAAAGGCCGTGAATTTTTTGTCTTTTCGTCCGCAGCTTTCAAACTTCCCTGTCTCAAGGAAAATTCTTTTTTTTTTTTCCCATTTCAGGAAAAAAAAATCAAGTGAAATAATAATAAACACATAATAATAATAATAAGTAATAATAATAATAAACAGTATAATAAACACAAAATGGGATGCTTGGAAAGAAGCTTGGGGTATAGCTGGAACTTTCTTCTGTTTTAGGAATGTTAAGTAGAAAATGCCACTGACAGTGGGGTCAGATCACACTCTCTCACTTAATAAAACTAAGAGAGATTCTCTGTCTTGCTCCTATTTTAAAGACATGCATCTGGCAGAAAAACAAAAACAAAAACAACTTGGTAGGTAGATTAGAAAATAATATATATATTAAGGCCAGTAGACTTAATTTAACAAGGACTTCTGTCAATTCATAAACATAGAGGTAACGACCAAGTTTCTGAAACAAAACAAAACAAAGCAAAACAAAACAAAACAAAACAAAACAAAACAAAAAACAAAACAAAAACAAGCAAAAAAAAACAAGGAATAAGATTTCCCCCTGTACTTAGCTCTGGTGACTTCGCACCTCAAATATTGTGGTCATTTTTGGGCCATTCACAACAGGAAGGATACTGAGGTTTTGAGGTTCTGAACTGTGTCTAAAAAAGGGCAACAAAGCTTATGAAGGGGCTAGAAAACAAGTCTTATTTGGAGTGTCTGAGAGCACTGGGGTTATTTAGCATAGAGAAAAGGAGGCTTAAGGGATACCTATTCACTCTACATCTACCTCAAAGGAGGTTGTAGCAGGGTCTGTCTCTTTTCCCAAGCAAATGTGATAGGACAAGAGGAATTAGCCTCAAATCCTGACAAGAGAGATTTAGGTTGGATAATAGGAAAAATTTAATCACTGAAAGGGTTGTGAAGTATTGGAACAGGCTGCCCAGGGAAGTGATTGAGTCACCATCACTGGAGGTATTCAAAAGATGCATAGATGGGTTGTTTAGAGACATCACTTAGTGCTAGACTTACTTGCAAGTGCTCAGGTAATGGTTAGGCTTGATGATCTTAGCGGTCTTTTCCAACCTAAATGCTTCTGTGATTCTAACTGAGATTGTAATTGTGTACAAAAACTTTAGGTTGGCCTTAATTGCCCTCATGTAACAGTGAAGCCAATCATGTTCCAATCAAACATTGGAACATTCATATATTAGAAAGAGTCCAGAGGAGGGCTGCAAAGATGATCAAGGGCCAGAAGCATCTCTCCTACAAAAACAGGCTGAGGGAGTTGGGGTTGTTCAGCCTGGAGAAGAGAAGGCTCCGGGGAGACCTTATAATGGCCTTCCAGTAGTTAAAGAGGGCCTACAGGAAAGCTGGAGAGGGACTCTTTGCCAGGGGGTGTAATGATAATGTCTTTAAACTAAAGGAAGTTAGGTTTAGAGTAGGTATTCTGAAGAAATTCTTTACTTCAGAAAAGTAAAATTCTTTACTTCAGGGCAGTGAGGCACTGGAACAGGTTGCCCAGAGAAACTGTGGATGTCCCATCCTTGTAAGTGTTCAAGGCCAGGCTGGATAGGGCTTTGGGCAGCCTGGTCTGGCAAGAGGTGTCCCTGCCCATGGCCGGGGGGGTTGGAATTAGATGGTCTTTAAAGTCCCTTCCAACCCAAACTATTCTATGATTTTATGATTCTGTAAGGATAGAGTGGTTTCTGAGAAGAAGCCAAGGCTATGTTTAAAGTGTTTTAGATGAGGGCTGTTGTTGTACTCTCAAACTTGACTGACGGTTGGAGACAGAAGAGAATCTTTTGTGTCAAGCTTTTGAGATAAAAATTACAAACAAAAAACATTGCAGAGGAAGATGCAGAATAACTTATCCCACTATATCCATAATATCTCCTCTTACTTGCTGGTGTCTACAAGCTTTTTCCTTTTTTTTTTTCTTTCTTTTTCTTTCTATTTTTTCTTTTTCTTTTTTGTCTTTCTTTTTTTTTCCTCTTTCTTTTTCTTTTCTTTCTTTTTCTTTTTTTCTTTTTCTTATTTCCTTTTTCCTCTCTTTCTTCTTTTTTTTTTCCTATGTCTTCTTTCTCCCTTCTTCCTTTTCTTATCCTTTTTCTTCTTTCTTTCTCAGAATATGATTTAGAGTTATCCAGAAAAGTGTCATATATTCTTACTTTTGACACCCATCCTAATTCTTTAGTTTGACTTAGATATAAATTCCTATTTTCTGGAAATTAAACTTGGTCCTATGGTAAAGAAAGATTAATATGCTCTATATACAGCTACTTTCAGTTCATTATAAAACTGCTCTAGTGCAGCCTAATCAGCTATTTCTGTTGGCACACAACAGAGCTGGAGTTTTGCCTAGAGAAGCACAATCTTTTTATTCGCTGGAGAAACATCTAGTTACCACCTCAGCGATATGATACTCTGCCTACTGCTATGCAGGGACATAGTTGCTCACTGTTTGTGTTAGTGCCCACACCTCTAAAGCTCTGTGATGTTCACACTTTATCGTTTCATTTCTTTCACTAGCACTTCTCTGTATTTCTGTTTCTTATGTGTTTCTGTTGGTTTCTTTTTCTTGCTCTCAGTTGGTGCCTGACTTGACTGCTTGCTTGCAGTTGTCATGCCAACTCCCAAGCCTGGAAACTGAAGTAGAAAGAGGTTTCTCTTTTTTTTTTTTTTTTTTTTGGTCAAGTACTCACTTCACAGTTACCAGACTGCATGAACTGAATGCATAAGTACTGGCAAACAGCTCTGTGACTTTGGTCTGACACTTAAACTTCTAAATATCCGTTTCTGCTTCAGAAGGATGTTTTTACTTCCCTTCCTTAATCTTTGCTGCTTGTCCACATGCTAAAAAACAGGAAAATGAGAGAGATCAGTCAAGTGGGGAAAGCATTTTATAGACTAGTCATTGCATTTTTTCTTATTTAAAGAGAACTGCAAACATATTTCAAATGCCCTACGTATAAATAATTTCTGAAAAATCCATGAGACTGCTCAATCTTTCTGAAACTTAAGTATTACAGAATTTGATTCACTTTTCATGCTGAGTCATCCAAGATTTATATGTATCAGCTTTCCAAATAACCAAGTGAAAAATATAAGAGAAGTACAGGAAATTAAAAATGCAAACTCTTAACTCCTTATACCAAGGTCATATGTAATCCTTACACCTTATTATTAATGCATGTAACAAAGATATAGTTCTGTGAAATAACTGCTGTCTAGAAAAAACAGTAGTTTTAATAGCTTTGCTGTAATTGACAGCTACATTCACAGGTGAATTTCATACTGGAAAACATAACACGTTTAAAAGGAATTGGTTTGCAGAGGAAGAAACATGGAAAGTTCACCTCAGACAATATTGCTCTTTGGAGATTCCTGTTGTTAAATTTCTTTTAGGGTTCATAGGAACCACCTGTATGGCTTGTGCAGTATTACACCTCATGTGTGTCTTGCATTTCTCAAGTTCAAAAATTTGTGATTTGTCAATGAAGATATTTCTTGTATAAATACTTACTGTAACTCATTACAGTTCTTATTTGAAATTGAGCTTTCCTGGCTGCAAACGTTTGCGAGAACATGCATTTACTTTGCATGAAGGACTTCAGAGAATAACATAAACTGGCTCAGCCTTTTCACAGTTGGTTAATAGTAATTTCCTCTTCTTCTACTGTATCAGACAAGTATGTTTGTTTTAACTAAGCCCAGTCTGAAGTAGAAGGTTTTTTATATCTCATTGAAAAAGGCAAGAAACCTCAAATACCTAAAGAAGCTTTAATCTAGCAGGCAGCTGTTGTGGATCAGTGTTCTAGAGCTATATTACACATTATCCTACACTTGGGCCACCTTACAATAATCTCAGATAGTTTCAGTCCAAATCCTGGAGACTATGTTGTTTACCTAAAGCATTGACATTTTATTCCCTCAAAAAGAACAGTCTACAACTTGCCTTGGCTCTTTATAAGAACAGAGGAATAGAGGTGGTTGCATTGGTCAGCAACTCTAGACCTTAGTGATTGTAGAGAACCGTGGAATGGACATTTAATCTAACAGGACCTACAGACCATCTCATACCACCATGCACCCTACAAAAGTCTGTAGGCAAGTAAGAAGAAAGATAAAGCATTTAAAATGTCTGGGGGGCCTGGGGTAACACAACCTTTGCTTAATAACTTCTGCATGATCTTTAGAAGTAGAGATCACACGCTATAGTGGAAGGCAAAAAATCACAAATGGAACTTGTTTTTCTTATCCTAATTCAGGTGACTTGTTTAAGTGAGTGGGTGAGAAAAGTAAAACAGGCTGACCTTAAGTTTAAATACTTTGAGGAACACCAGTAGAACCCAACTTGTTTATTTCTTCATGTACTTTCCATCCTAATACTTGATGATGAGATGTAGAGGATATACAAACACATATAAAAACAGATGACCAAGCTGCACAATGACCAAGAAAGACTGTTTACATACTACATCTATCAAGGGGAAATAAACTCTTGGTCTATGATAGGAATGTAGCTTGAAAAGCAACACTACTTTCACATCATTGGTACTTCCTTGATACTGAATTTTATGCAGCTTCTCCTAACTAGATTTATTGTGAGAAGATCCTGGAATGGGAGGAGGCAGGGCCAATTAGAAGAGATAATCAGCTGGAATGCTGAGAACCATTGCTCTGAAGGCCTCCCATCTGTGCAGCTCCATCAAATGCACTTTGCTAAGGGAAGGACAGCTTGTTTGTTTTGGCCATGGCTCCTGTGAGCAGAGATAGCGAAAAACCAGGGAATCCAACTGGATAAAGAACATCTGCAAATGATGTTCTGTTAATGCGTATTATATCCAAAGAAGCCTCAATGCTTGGTCTCAGCTCCAGTCTCGGCCACACATGTTGATCCATCAGGTTCATTCAGAATCAACTTTGGTTCTCTGTAAACAAAGAGAGTGCAGAGTCTGTTTCATGCTATTCTACAATAACACCTTCAACTACTGAGTGAAAAAAAAAAAAAAAGAAAAAAAAAAAAGGTGGGTACATAGAAATTTAATACTGAACTAACTTTAAAAAATGTAAATATGGATTTAGAAGCTCAGTCAAGTCTCTTGTTTGATACTTGCCTATATTTCCCTGTTTTTTGGTTTTTGTTGTTTTTTGTTTGTTTGTTTTTGTTTGTTTGTTTGATTGTGTTTGTTTGTTTTGTTTTTCTGAAACCACAGTCTGAATTCTGTTTGGACAATTTCATATTCTGCACAGATATTTTGCATGGACTCACTGGAATTCATAGGTGATGTCCAAGGAGGCATTGTCCCAATATGTTTTATGAATATTCTGTCTCAAGGATTCAACCCTTGATTTAGATTATCTTCTTTTCAGTTTTTTTTTTTTTTTTCCAAAGAGGAAAAAAAGATTAATCTCAGAGTGATCTATGATATTTTATTTTTTATATCATAGTCTCCAACATGGTAAGTAATGTGCTTATGACCAGTGTCTCACTGTCTGGCAACTGCAAACATTTATATCTATAGTGTCCCCTTATAGTAATTTGGATTATTTGGTAAATTATGTTAATATTATGATAATAATTTTATTTTTTATTACAATTTAATTCATTCTTAAAGCTACCTAACATTTACAGAGTTGTTTTGAACTTATTTTTACAAATCAAAGAGTTTTAATATGAATTATTACTTATGTAATAAACCATCATAAAATAATCAAGTAAGCTTTCCTAATTGATTTTCTGAACTAACCATTGTTGAGTCAATGCAAATATTTTTTCTCTCTTTTACAGTTGCTAATACATTCTGTGTAATGAATCTTTGTGACTTGGTTTACAGTGAGTGTTTCTTTGTTCCTTTTTTTTTTTTTTTTTTGTCTTGTGATGTTCTTTGATCTTCTACTTTTATTAAACTAATTGTGTTAAACTGATAGCGAAAAAAACATATGTTCTTTCTTGGCACTCAGCTGCTGTTCACTAGACCATGGTGCCATGTTTCTATATTATGAAGAACATAAAAGAACGCAGTAAGATTTCCAATAACTTTTCATTTTTATGTGTAATTCCTCTTCTCTTCTCCACTTTTTCAATATTAACATTATGTTCAAATAATAAAAGATTTTATTTTTCTTCATAACTATGGTGTACCAAACTGACTTGTCAGCAGTTTGGATACTTTGGGGAAAAAAAAAAAAAAAAAAAAAGATTAAAATTGGAGAGCTTTAGCTCTTTATACATATATCACTAGTCTATGAAAATTTAATTTTGTAACAACACAATTCTAAATCAGTTAATCAAAATTGTCAGATGTCCTTAAGGAATAGATGAAGAGGGACCAACCCCACTGGTTCTCTGTCATCTGAGAGCTCCAGTTATCCTAGCAAACATTTCATAATAGCATACTAGGCTACTTTGCACGAGAAATGCAAAGAATCTGGAAAGAATGGACCTCATTCCAAAATGAGATGTTAATAAAATAGTTTCTGGTGAGATATGCTGCCTCTCTCCTTATCACACAAATTATTTCAGCTTATGAGGATCTTGGGGAGTTTGTGAATTCACTCGGGAAGTTTGCCAATCTCTAACTCAAGATACGTTAACAGTAGCATGAAAATATTCTATTATCTGAACAGTGTAAGAGAAAAAAAAAAAGTGTTTATATCAATTTACTAAATTCATGAATCATAGCAAGTCATTTTGTTGCATGCTTTAGCTTATATACTCAGACTAATAACTGAAATTCTCATTCTAGAACTAGTTGTTGAACTAGTTCTAGTTGTTGAACATTGCATTTAAAATTATCCCTGCTTGATATCCTGGATACAGATCCAGGAATTAGAGCTCTTGTATATGTATGTAAAGTTAAGTAGTTTTAATAATCTATTTTATATCTCTTCAGAGGTACACTTTTTTTTCTTTTTTCTTTTTTCTTTTTTTTTTTTCAAATTTAAGCACATTCATCATAAGTCTACAAAGCTTCAGAAAGTGAAATACAGACTATTTTCTCCCCAGTATTTTATCCAAATATAATTTTCATCAAAGAATAAAGAAAGGGCACTTCCATCCACTTAATTTCTGTCATTCTCAGTGTAAAAGATATTTCCACATGAGAGTGTTCTCTCTGAAGTTCAACCATAATTTCCTTGGAAGGGCAGCATGTTAATACTTTTAATATTGTCTTCTTCTAGGCCAGAGCTGTCCATCACATACAGTGCTCTATCAGGTATGTCCATTTTAAACAAGTACCTTCAAAATGATGGGGCATGGATTAACAATAATTATTTAGCACCAAAAGGTACCTTTTCAAGTTCAATTACTGGTTCTGAGGATATATATTTTGGAGAGTTTGATTATTTGGTTCTAAGTAGTGACTCAGTAATTTGTAAACACACCCAGTTTTATTATAGTTGTGCTGTAGGTATCATTTCCATTTCATCTGGGTAGACTTAGTTTGAAGGGTAAAATATTTTTAAGGGTTAGAATTCAAGTTGACATGTGGCTGAGTCCACATTACTACAAGATTTAAAAGGGAATATTGGGGGTATTCCGAACATGTATTAAACTGTCTTAAAAGGAAGCTTGTACACTTGCACACCCTGCTTAGCTTTTGGTGTGGCAAGAGTTGCTGTTGAAGGGTAGGGTGCTGACCTTCAGAAAGGCCAACTGAGTGGCAAGATGAAGGGTTGGGTGATATGAATCAGTGAGTCAGCGTTCTTGCCCAGATCTAGGTGTTACCAACCTGAGTTTACTGTTGCCACCAACAGAAGACACTGAGGTGTGCTTGGTTCAGAGTTTGACAGGTGTTGCTAATCTAGGTGTAGCTTTCATTTCAGAATTATTGTTAATGTTAGGTTGACATGGGCTGGGAAGACTTCTTGGCTTCTTGGTATTATTAGATCAGAGGTAGGGCTCATGTTTTGATGTTAGGATGCAAACATTGGCCCCAAATGTAACAAAAGTCTGTTTCTTAGACTTAGACCTATAACAAACACAGAAGCACTGCTCATCTGACCATAACCTCGTGCTTTTTGGCCCATTTCATCTAAGGGCAAGCCCATCACAGGACTCCGTGGAAGAGCCTTGTCACGTGAAGACGTAAATAGAGAGAAGGGCTCCTGTTTATGAATAGTGTATGTTGGTTTTGTTGCTCCTCGTAACAGCTAACCCTTGTATTAACCTTTCAGTCTGAAACTCAAGAAAGAACTGCCACTTCTCTCACCCTCATAGCTGAAGCTTGGTTAGGCAACTTCTACAACTGTAGAGGTTAGCTCAGGAAAGTTCCCAGGCTGAGAGAATCTGTTAGGGTTTCAATTCACTTTGGAAAGCAGTGCTGACACCAATATCAAGATAAAATGAAGAGCTCCTGTCTAGTCCAGAAGTATTTACGTCTACATGGCCCTAGTCCCCAGCAGCTTTTTGTAGATTCAGCAAGAAGGCAAGTTTCTTAGGCAACCCTGATCTATCATTATCACTAAACTCTCCTTAAAATTCTGCCCTATTTGGAGGACGGTAGGTTAGTGTTGTTAGTAATATTACTCTAAGCAGCCTGCAGCAAGTCAGGTTTGCCAGCTGGTGTCCCCTACCTACCCAGGGCTGTGGTAAGGAATCTGCAACAACAGCTATCCACCCACTCTAAACTCAGTTGCCTCTCCTAGACAGTGATTGTGGCTCAGTCCAAATTACAGTCTCTGTCCCTCTCTGAAATTTATTTTTCAAGTTAATTTTTTATGGATACAAAAATTAAGTTCAGTCAACTGTCCATAACAACTCTAAACACATGTTGATGGCCCCATCTTCAGTTACCCAAACTCTTCTATCCATCCTGGCCTGAAATCCAGTCCTCCCTACAGCTCTTTAGCTCAGGAGAATGTCACAAATCTTTCTCTGTCTCTTTGGGAGATGTTAGTAATTCAGTGTTTCCTCACATCATACAGAGATACTCGTTCAGTGTTAATTGGGGCAGAATCCTTCTGACTCAATAGGTAGTTCTTCCTGCTGAGCTGCTTTTAATGGCTAGTACTGAAAATGTCTTTACAACCTACTAAAGTTCAGAGCAAATTCTGCTTACCTCCAAATCACAACACAGCACAAAAAGGGCATGGGTTGAAGTTGCTGAATGTCTTTGATTAGCTAATAGAGGATTTTGAATTGACAATTATGGAGAATGATATCAAATGCCTTCAAATAATATGAAAGTTGAATATGCTTTTAAATAATATGAAATTCTCTCTCTGGCTTTTTTTTTTTTTTTTTTTTTTTATGAGTGATTTATGAGTCCAACTTGCTTTTGAGAATAGGACATTAGTAGCTTTTTAAAATTTCTCTTCATATTGTTAAGAGACTCTTAAAACTACACTTTAGTAAATATGCATTCACAAATTAATTATTCCTATTCCATTTCTTTTGCTAAAAAATTTTAAGTACAGTAATCATGTCAAAAATAAGTACAGTTAACTGGGTACATATTAGATTGCATAAAGCTTCAGCAAAGTTAGATGCATCAAGTTTCAAATGACATCTGAATGATTCCTCCAACTAAACATGAACAAGGGGATCTTTCTGTTAGCTAATCTTTATTATTTAAAGGAATGTAAAATCCACTAAGGAAAAATAATTGAAAATCTGATTTACATTGTGGAATGATAGCTTTTCTTTAACTTCTCTGCTATGTTCTTGTCCAAAGCATATATGTTAAACCCCATGTCATTTTTATTTTATTTTATTTTTATTTTTATTTTTTGCATTTAGACACAAACATCCATAATCCAGACTATATCTTTCAACTCATAATGTACCCTTAAAAAAAAAAAAAAGAGAGAGGGGGGGGGGAGAGAAAGAAATATTACTTTTATACAACTTATTTTTATCTTTTTGATTAAATTCCTAGAAGAAAATTTCTGTATCTAACTTTCTAACGTATGAAATTCTGTTTTGTGGAGAGATGCTTAAAATGCATATTTAATTCCATGGGAAGGTTAGATTTATTTTAAAATCTACAGAATCTGGGATTTCTGACATTCACATCAAATAAGAAGAAAATACAGGAGAAATGTTATTGTGTTACTCTGTCCCTTCATCTTGACACTAACTAGGAAAACCCAGACTTCAAAGGGTGAGGGAAAGTTCAGGCTTCATGCTAAATCAGTTTTGGGCCATGCTCCCAGGATTTGCCAGCTATGCCTATTTTTTAAAAATATAAAATGTAAGATAAAGTTAACAGAAAGAAAACCACAGCCACCACACTCATTTTCCTTTGGCTTGGGGATCGGTTTAAATCCCCAGAGCAGCCAGTGCTGTATCCTTGCAGACAGCCCTCTCTCCCCTAATCCAATCATTACCATGACCAGAAGCTGCTAACTGTGCTGTGGATTTCCAGATTTTTGCCTTAACTGTTGAACAGCAGGATCTGAAGGCACAAGACAATAGCTGGCTCAGGGTAACAAGTAAGCAGCTGCAGCCCCTGCTCTAGACCCTGCTGCAAAGAAATGGATGTTGCTGGGAGAGGATGTGACAGCAGAGCTCACATGCTGCAGCTGCAAGCGCAGTTGGTGTTCTCTTAAAAAATGACACCAGCACTGGGATTCAATGTCTCTGCTCACATTTACTGTGACCCAAACTTCCTCTTTGAACTCTGTGTTATTGGTAAGGACACTGGCTGTAGGATGGAGCTACCCTGTCTGACTGGGGACAGTTGAGAACTTAAATAAGGCTAACAAACACTGAGTTGGTTTAATGGCATCATCACCGTGTGTCTTAAACTGTTAGTGCTCTGTTTATATTCAGTCCCGGTTAAAATCTGGCCAGAATACTCTTTGGTCTCAGTTTTTAGTTTTAGTATGACTTCCTTGAGAGATCGCATATTCTTGAAGCAATTCATGTGTACCTCAGGCAGAGTGAACTACAGATAGAAATCACTGCCTTCACCACGTGTGTCCCATTACCATGGGCAAGGACGGACAACGGGTTCAATATTGTCAGCCTCTCCACAAAACAGCTGCAGCAGCTGCCTGACCCAGTGCCACGGGGAATTCCACTGGCCAGCAACATGCTGGTCAGGACAGCATTTCTTTCTGGCTTGTATTTATTTACCTTCTGTTAAGCCACCTTCTGCACCTTCTGTTCTTTTATAAATGGCACAATTTAGAAGGAAAATTGAGCTTTTTTTTATGCTTTTTTTTTTTTTTTTCTCCTATCACCTCCCCTTTCCAGTAGCTAAAATAAGCGTCTTAGCTAGGAATTTTTTGCACCCATATTTCCATGCCTTCTTTCCCTCCCAGTGCTTTTGACAACTATTACCTCCTGGTTGAATCTTTCTAATGTCTGTTGTCAACACTGTTCTAGCAAAGAGCGGTCAGATCTTCACAGTGTACCTCCTGCAGAGAAGCCAAGATCATTATGGACATAAATGCTGTTGTTATTTATGCTGCTCAGCTATGGACTGAATCCTAACAACTGCCTCTGGAGGCTCACTGCCAGCAAGGCTTTGAGAAGTCCTTGGAGCACTTTCGCATGCTTCATGGGAAGGATCTGGAGGGAAGGTGTTTCTCTGCACTGTACTTCTGCAATGTGGAGCAGTGCTGCCCTACATCTTAGAAGAGCAACAAAAACAAAATGACTGCAAGTGACTTCTAAAGCTTTTTTTTTTTTTTTAATTTTTTTTTTTTTTAATGGGCAAGCTTTTTGTTTAGAACAAGTACTAAAACAATCAGTGGAAGTCACCACTCTCCCAGAAGGATAATATTAGAGAATCAGTGTGTTACTAAAGGGCAGTATTTTTGTCCTGGGTCTTACCAAAAGCAACTTCTTGCTGATATACTTCCTTTTCTCCAAAAAAGTTTTCACCAAGGGCAAGTCTGAGATTTAAAATGAGGACTGCCAACTTTTTAAGTAAAAATAAAATAAAATAATGTGCCTTTAATTAACAGCATTTACAGAGAGAGAATTTACAGTATGTTTGTCTCCGTGATGCAAAACTGAAAATGATCATAAATTAATTTTTGTTAAGATGTTGCTATTATTTTTCCCTTTCTTTGCTCCTTTCTTCATTAGTTCACTTTATACAAGTGGTTCCTTGTGGTTTGTCTAGGATATCAGTAAGCATGTACAATTAAGCCAGTGAGAGGAGTACTGCAAAACAGATGTGGACAGACCCAGGCATAATTGGGCGGGTAAACTGCTGGAAGCACCAAGCAGGGAAGGCCCAATCATGTTCTTGTTTTCTGATCTCTGGCAGGGGAATGCAGTTGGCTGATAGTGGGTGTTTTGAACAGCCCTGTGGCTTTGCGGTATTACTGTGCAATATCATTTGGGAGACCAGCTGGATTCCTGATGTGGAATTATTGTTCCCTGGCTCGGACGTGCTGTGGAAGCAGTGAGCCCCGCTCCGAACCTCTGAGGGCAACCTGCCTTGCATAGGAAGAACGGGGGAACAAGCTCTGAAAAGAGACAGCTTCACTCCTCGAGCAGATGGCAGGCAACTGCAGGAAACAGAGAATCAACACGAAGTGAAGGAGGCCCAAGAAATGTGGGGTGGATCCAGGACCCTCAGATCAAATTGGGAATAGCTGTGAATGAGTGGAATGGGTGTCTTAAAGATATGGTCTCATCTGCCATTCCTAGTAGCTACAGAAAATCAAGCTGGAGTACTGAATTAGCAAATATTGACATCATATAATCCATATGTCAGGGTTTTTGCAACCAGATTTTGTGCAGATCTTAAACAACATTTGCATACTGAAACTATGGAAATTTTGTATTTTTATGTAAAGCTATATGAGACATTCCAGAGGCGTGTTCAAGTTTTCTTCAGTGTAAACTTTAAATTAAATATAACCACAGCAACCAGTTGCTTTTCTCTTAAGAGTTTACTCTGGACCTTCTACAGTGTTTTCTATTAATAAAGATAGTGAGAATTTAATGTGAGCTGACTCACATACCCAATAGGAAAAGATGAAACAGCATACTAAGCAGTCAAACATCACTGTAAAATCTAAACCAATTGTACAGTTTAGAATAACAAATCCAAGTTTTTATGAACCAAGCAAGTGTGTTTCCTTTGTTGGCTCCTCACATCAGCACTGGCAAAGGATCATTTATCGTCCTTTGCTCCTTTACATTTTGTGAGAGTTCATGCACTGGAAGAGGATCCTGCTTTCTCTAAGGAGGAGTGTGCAGAAGAGATCAGCTCCTCTCTCCACACCATACCCCAGAGAAGGTACTGCTGACTCATAATCAATGCTTGCAAAGGCAATATCTATTTTATGTCAGCTGTGAACACTAGCTGATATAAAGACTCTTCTTATTTGCTGCTACTAATTACTTTGAAAAAGAAAATGGTACTATTAAAAGCCCCTTTTTTCTCTGCCAGCACAAATGAGAGTGTCTTCTCATCTATTTTCATACAACAGTGGCTTGTGCCTGTCCAGTTTGACCCTTACCAGTTGAAATGAATGTAGCAGTTCTTCATTCTGCAAATGCTAATGGCAATGCATGCTATATTTTGAACGTGCTGCATAAGCCACTCATTGTGGCTACACTTGTGTTTTGTGTAGTGGCTGTCAGCTGTGGCACTCTCATTCCCTTTCCAAGTCACAAGAACCCCTGGCAATCCAGCAGCTAAGTGTGTGAATTTGAAACTTCAAAATAAAACTGAGGTCACCAAGATCTTGTTTGAAGTTAGTTAAAACCATCAACTTTAAATAAATGTATTAAAAATCTTGGGGAGAGAAGGAGGAAAGAGAAAGAGGTGAGAAGAGTTGCTTATTTGTTCTATGAAGAAAGTCCCTTCAGTGAACTGGACTGAGTTCAATCCTGGTGTTTTTTTTTGTTTTGTTTTGTTTTGTTTTGTTTTGTTTTGTTTTATGTGAATATCAGTCAGAATTGGATCATTTAATCACAAAATATAATTTTATGGTAAGGAGTATGAAATACTTGATTAAATTTACAATCTTCTTGTTTTACATACCTACTGGTGTAGGTATTTATTTGGAGTTCAAGGCAGGTCCTTTATTTGCAATCCAATCTAAATGACTTACAGCAGGTCACTTCCACATAAAATAAAAGTATAGTGTAGAGATAACGAGTCCTGTTTCTTTTCAGGAGATTTTCAGCATTTGCTGTATGTTTATTGCACTTTGACCTCAACCAGAAACTGAAAAATAACTGTTTTGTATTTTCTTGGTACTTGTGAGTAATCCTGTTGGTTAAGTAACATCTGTGTAAGTAGTTGAAGTAAGATGCTCACATTCATTTGATGGGCTGAAGGGAAGAGCAAGAAATTGACAGGAAAAAAAAAAAAAGTAAATTTTCATAATTTTGTTTTATAAAGGTAGAAGTTAAACTACTAAGGCCATGTTGTACTTCAAACTGTTAACAATGCAGGTATTTGTACTACTCCGGCTACTGTGGGGAGCTTCAGCTGTTGCTGCAGAATTTCTGGAAGCACACACTAGGCAATTCAAGACAGGACTCAGTTACCATGTGTGGGCCTGCAGTCATATAATCCCAATTTTACGAACAACAGTTCAGGTGGAAACCTGCTGAAAACATAATAATAATATTGGCATATTATGTTTTCTCAGTCACTGGGCAAGAAGTGTTTATTTAACACATTAGAATTAGAAAGGCTGTGAAAATAAGAAGGGCAGCAATAAAATATAAAACAGAGTGGACAATCACCAACGTTATTTTAAAATTCAAATTAAAAAGGTAATATGGTGGGCATTTATGAGCTATTGTTCTGCCACTTCCCAGTTCCAGGAATTCCTTCTTATTTAAAACCAGTGGTATCTTGAGAATGCAGAAGACAGGTTAATTTCTATTGTGTTTGACTACACAAACAAAACCCTAGTGCAGTTTGGCTTCTCCAAATTCAGTCTTTGGTATACATGACTGAGTTTTTTCGGTCATGGAATTGCAAAATGAACATATGCTGAGGATTACATATGAGGGAAGAAAGGAAAACCTAATGTGACAAAATATGTACCCATCCATCATACTGGGTTTGCACACACATGTATCTAGCAAGAACTAGTATCAAATGCTCAGAAGGTCTATATTGCCTATGTGTTATGCCCAAGCTGTCTACAAAGTTTTCTTTTCAAAGAGCCGTGCATAAATAACACATGTGAATTCAGTTTTGTGCTTTGCAGTGCAGGCATCTGCATTTAACAATGACCACAATAAAATCAATGTTTTCTTTCTGAGAAAGAACAGCTCCAGGAATAATTATCCCAAATCTATTTAGCAGCTAGCAGGTTGACTAATATGATGTAGTGCAATATAGATGTAGTCATCCAGAGGAGCCTGAATTCTGAAGAATTCTGCCCTCAACAGGTTGTGAGGTATAGCCTTGCAATGGAGTATTTTGCTCTAGTTCAACATTAAATATTAATCTGCTTTCCATTTGTAGCGGAATTTGTGTTACTAATTTTTAATTCTGATGATTAAATAACTTTTTCTCCTAGGACAAGGGAAAAGCAGAAGTAGTTGATTAGCATTTGAAAGTTTACTACATGTATATAATATCTTTAAAAGACCTTGCTTAGAAAGATACAGAGCATTTGCCTTCATTTATTCAACTGCTTTGGTTAAAATTCTGCTCTACCTCCTCTGAGGTCATTATGTACAATAACATTTAGGCTTTAAAAATTATGGTGCAAATACTACGGTTTGATGAATATCACATTTGCTTTACTGAAATTAAGCTAGCAGAGAAATGCCTCCCTAGGCAAAGGGATTTGGGTTTGTTTGGGGGATATTGGCTTTTGTTTTGTTGCCAGGCCAATATATCTGTTCTAGTTTGGTTTAATAAACCAGCACTTGGGAGGTTGACCAAAATTCCATTTTCAACGTACAAGTTTAGCAGCCTGTTACTTCAATAGTGACTTTACCTCAAAAGCTTTCAAGTTCTAATGTGTACATCTTTGCTGTGTGTAAGCTTTCTGTGCTTTTTTTTTTTCCCACTTTTTTTTTTTCTTTCTTATTTTATCAGGGTATCACATGTGACAATGATGCAACTATTTTCCACATCTATCTTGTATTCTCACAAAGGCTGGATGTTGTGTGAGGTTATCCTTCTTCCCCCCCCCCCCCTCTTTTTCACTAATAAGGGTTGAAGTAAGGGTTGAAGTAGAATGGGGAAATGTGCAGAGAAGGGTAGGGAGAACAAGAGGAATGGAGCAGCATCCATATAGGGAATGACTGAGCAAGCCATGTCTCCTTAGGCTGGAAAAGGACAGTTGAAGATGTCCTTTCAACATCAACTAAATCATGAGAGGCAGGAAGTGAGTAGATAGCAGTCTATTATTCACTGTCTTGAGCACTGTAGAGTATCTAGTAAAGCAAATATTATGCAAAGTTAAAGAAAAAATAAAAAAGTCATGTTCTTTATTTAACTCACAGGCAAGCTATGAATCTCTTTGTCTCACAGTTCTGTGAATACAAAATCTGATGGGGAGTCAAAGGGAAACTACACAGGAATTGCATAAAATTTGCATGTGATGCAGACAGTCCAAGAGTGATGAATGGTTGCAGGCTGGGGCAGCCCTTGCTCAGCTCTCAGTCTTCCCTAGGAATCTGCTTTTGGCCTGAAGTAGGACACTGGGGTAGACTGACCTTTGGTTTTACACAGTAGGTCTGTTCCTATAATTCCAGTTAACGTATAAACTCATCAGGTGTGCTAAGACTCTTATCATAGTCACTATTAGCTAATTAAGACAAGCATTTGCAATATATCCTTACATCTCCGTGTTCTCTTTTCTATGTCCTCATCTATACCAGAAAAGTCTACCAGGTAAAATATATAATAAAGAGAGTGAGACAATTGCGCAAACTCCAAAAACATGCCTACACTTCACCATGTTGATCTTAAGTTTTCTCAATCCATCTTAAGTTGGTAATATATTACCTTTGTTTCATTTGGATAATAAGCTTGCATTGCATTGAAGATCAAAACTTTGACTGTAGATAGGTACTTAGACTCACGTGTCTTTGTGTCTTTGTTCTTAATCTAATGGCTCTTTTTTATTTTTTATTTATTTATTTATTTATTTATTTTACGATAACTTTTTCTCCCTTCTGTTTGATACACTGAACATAAACAATAAGCTTCTACCATACCGTAGTTTGTTTTAATGCTAGGAGCCAAAGGGTTTGGCAGAAAAAGTTTTCGTTTTGGTCAACACAAGCATATGCTTCTGTTTTATGTAACTAATACTAAAATGAAAGTCCACAGCAATTACAGCCCATTTTTCCATTACCACACGTTTACCGTTAGTAAGGTCTCTGTAGATCCAAGTTTCATGGTGAATTTTTTTTTGTTACTGCTCAACAATTGTATCTGATTTTTGAACAGTGAGAAGACAGGATCTCTGCCAATATTTTTAAATCACCTATATAAAAATGCAAAGGCCTGGATGCAGAATTAAACACTTACTTACTTATCGCAAACACATGTAAGCCTTTTTTTATTATTATTCCTTTCTGCATATTCTGAAATGTTAGAATATCTTCTCAATGTATGCATAGGGAGAGTGTGTTTTATTAGGCTTTGAGAGTCACTGTGCTTAGTTATCTCACACACAGATGGTCTATCCTTGACTTTGTGACAGGCACCAGGGACAATCCTATCACTTCCTTCTGGCCAAGATTTTAACTAGAAAAAAATGTAGTGGTAATAGAATCAGCTAGATGGTATTATAATCCATTATAATTATATTATAATTGGTTGGACTCAATGATCTTGAAGGTCTTTTCCAACCTAGATGATTCTATGATTCTATAATTACTTAGGATTATGTGCTTTATTTTATGGGAAGAATTAACCGTAAACTGTAATTTCCTGGTAGTTTTTGATAAGGCTTTCAACAAACTAATTTTTCCTTCCTTTTCACATACCTGCAGTTGGCACACTGGTTTGAACTGGATCAACCTCCCAAGCTGCTAAGTACTCCAAGAACACCAGTTGTCAAAAAAAAAAAAAAAAAAACAACAGACAAATGTGGGAAGGGACATACTCAGAAAGAAAAATCATGAGAAATCTTGAAAGATTCATCAGACATTGTCTTTGAAACGGGAGCTTATTTTTCCTAGTATTTTTGTTCAATCTACTGTGTATCTCCAGACTCAAAAGGGAAAAAAAAATAGAGAGGGAAAAGAAATTTTTAAAATGTATGGTTTACACTCTGCAGTGGATTATACTCCAGGAAAGTTTATCTGTGTACGAAAAAGGGGACATTCAGTCAGGCTAAATGGTTCAACTAATCCTCCAGCTGCTGACTCAGAGTAAATTCATGGCCCTTCAAAAAATCACTGATGTGACTGTCCCTTTGGGACAGCTGTAATATAGATAGAGCAATCATTCATGCTGCTTTG